ATCTTTGGGATTTTCTATATATAGAATAATGTCATCTGCGAACATGGTTTTACTTTTTCCTTTCCAGTTTGGATGCTTTTTGTTTTTCTCCCAGTTGTTCTAGCTAGGACTTCTGGTTACATTGTTGATAGTGATTTTGAAGGTGGGCATCCTTCTCTTGTTCCTGATGTTAGGGGGAAAGCTTTAATTTTTTCACCATTGAGTGTGATGTTTGCTGTGTATGCTTATTGTCTTTTAACCAACTTGAGAACTTGTTAGAAATTCTGACTCTTAGGATCCACCCCATATCTTCTGTTTCTGAAACTACAGGAAGTGGAATTTAGTCATCTGGATTTTTGGAAACCCTCTGGATGATTTTGATGTGTGCTAAAGTTTAAGGATCGCTGCACTAGAGTTTAAGCTTAGGTTAGGACCTGTGTTTTATCTCTCTATTCTTTTTAGTCCTCATATGGGATTAATTAGTGTTGAATAACTTCAACAACAACAACAACAATGTTCCCAAAGTGCCTACATAATCTGTTAACTTGTCTACATGTCTCAAATCACCATACATAACTGGAGATTCATTATTAGACATTCACAAGATTCACCAGAGGACCTCACATTTTGTATTTAGTCTTAGACCCATGCATGGCAAACAGCGCAAGTGTACTTTTATTTAGGCTGTTTGTCTTGGTAATTGCTTTCACCATAATTATCTGGTTACCTACTAGCTGTGGTCTTATCCTTATGACTACTTCAGCCAGCATGAAATTCTCTTCTGGCTATTTGGAAAGATCTGGAGTCTTTTGTTTTTATTTTTAATAGGGCTTATTGGATTTCATCACATACCTGTTTTGCCCTTGTTTTATATTTCTCATTAGTTTTCCTTTATCTTGCTATGCTGTGCCTTCAGTCCTCTTACATCCTTTTTCCCTCTTTCATTCTTTTTGAACAAGATAGTATTTAAGTTAATAAGCTAAGAATGTAATCTAGTGCTACTAATGGCTATTGTTGAAACTAGCCATTTGGACACACAGGTACCAGTTTATATACAAATACAGTAATAACATTCTATTTATTAGTTGTTTACCTACTGGTGAATATTCAGCTCATAAAAATACAATACATTTTCAAGACGGCAAAATCGTGGTATAATTAATTATTTATAGCTGGTCTATTTCTGAGACTGGTTTAATAATAATTGATACCCTGGATTCCCATTTTCCACCACTTCTAGGTGTCTGAACCTCATTTGCAAATCCTCCTCCAGTCAAGAGTCAATCTAGTTAACTCTTCTCTCAGGACAGAATATTCTGAGTATATTAATAGTGTCAGAGCCGGGGGTATCTCCATGTGGGAGCTGTGTGGGATCACCAGTAGCAGGGAAGAAACATAAAGTGAAGTAGAATGGGCTTACAGCCTTGGTGGGGGCATAGCTCCATGAGCTATGTGTGGCCCTAAAAATACAACATTGCTGGACTTCCCTTCAGTCTCTTTGATATGGGAATAAAGTTGTAGGATCCTTGCATGAATTACTATTGGGTGAATAATTAAGCCATTCTCCAACCTTTCTTGTTCACAGTTTGTTATAAGTAAATGAAAAATCAATTCACTAACAAATGCTAGCAGACTTTTAAGATGTCAGACCGTGTACATGAATATTGCAGTTAAAAATTTTAATGACTATAAATGGATCATAGTTCTTATTTGCGTGTCACATCTTATTCAATGAAAAGGGCTGAGGCGGGGGTGGGTAGGGCAGGTCTTGACTGTTGAAGTCACAACCTAAAAGCTGAAATTGATCAAATTTCCCAGGACATTTCTTCATGGAATTACTTGACTTTTAGCTAACATTCTACTTCCAGTTCTAGAAATTGTACATGTGGCATCTTTTATCTGTCTGTGGAAGAGCTCATGTGGTCTCTAGCTGAGCTTCTTAATTAGTTTCTCAAAAAAAAAAAAAACCATTCAGACAGTATTTTGAAGGTGTATGTTTGGATTCAAAGTATTTCATCTATGTGTATGTATATTTGTGTAGACTTACATTTATGTGCCAAGAATGTTTAAATAAAGAGGGTTTGAGATATCTTAAGTGATTAAAATTTTTTTTTTTCAAGTTTAATAGATCGATGATTTTCCAATACAGTCAAAGAGGAAGTTTGTTTGGAGACTGTGTGGCTTTTTTCCCTGCCTCACATATCCTGTGTTGGTGGTTTGAATAAGAAGAGAACCATTTTCCACTGTATTCTCATAACTATATCCTTGAAAAAATCTTGTGTCATGAGATCACCAATTAAAAAATCAAAAGGTATCTAGTGATTGTAAAAGTTTAGGAAGAAGTTTGTATTTTAATTAGGGAATAATTATAATAGTATAAGGAGGGTCTCAAACACAGACAGTTGAGCAGAAGCGCTTAAACTCATTGATTGGCAGGTAAGTATTTAGGCAGACGGTGACTTTTCTCGTACCACCAACTGTGAAAAGGGATTTTAGTTTGCCAGCCATTACACTGCTGAATGCCTGAGGGTGCAGTGGTTTATTTCGGAAAGGAGTGAAGTCTGAAGGTTCCATGGCGGAGCTGAGTCTCAGGAACCATTGCTGTGTATTTCGCAATGCTTTTGAAAGGGTTTTGCTGACAGTGACAAGAGGAAGAGGGAGCAAGCGTGGTAAAGTCATTTGGCTACTTCTGAAATCAAGGCCAGGAAGAAAACAGTTTCTGGCTGTAAATCACTGACTTGTCTTACCTTCTTTAAAGCACTTTATACAGATGACTTTAACAGTTTTAGGGGTCTCGTCTGGGGTTAAGAGACTGTTTGTCTGGTATACAGTTTGGTGATTAAAAAGTAGTACTTTATTGAGGTGGTGGCATTTCTGTTCACACTCCATACTGTCAACTATTTGACATTTGTCTGACGAGGAAGTTATTGCCGTTAAGTCAGTGTTGTACAGAGTATATGCGTGTTGATTTTATGTGTTGCAGGGACATGCACTTTTAAAAAAAAGTGCTTAAAATCTAATTGTAATGAAAGGACAGGAGAAAACAAGAAACTATAAATAAAAGAAGAAATTGTAAGGATTGCCAACATTTTGATGAGTGATTATTGTGCCATGCACTGCCCTAAGTGCTTTTGAATGAATTACTGAATTTAATCTTTAAACCCAGTCCTGTGAGGTAGGAATTGTGGTGGCTCAGATGGTAAAGAATCTGCCTATAATGCGGGAGACCCGGGTTCAATTCCTGGGTCAGGAATTTCCCCTGCAGAAGGAAATGGCAACCCACTCCACTATTCTTGCCTGGAGAATTCCATGGACAGAGAAGGCTGGTGGACTACAGTCCATGGGGTCACAAAGAGTTGGATCTGAGTTCATTGACCCTTGTATTTCAAGGATAGTACTCAGGCTAAAGGTAAAATAGTTGCTTATGATTTTTTTAAAGTGAATCAATTAAAATAAAAATATATAGTAAATACCTAAATGTCTTAATGGCTATGGCAAAAATGCTAAAGCTGATAAGAAGGATGAATTTGGAAAGTGCCTTCGGTGATAGATGAATGTGTTAGTTTGACTCATACTTAAAAATACCTTGGGGTCATGGAATTATCCTTTCTTATGCCACTGTCATCCTTTGCTTTATCTGATTCCCAGTGTCTTACAGTGTAAGAGACTGCTGTGGTATTTGGTACGTATTTAGATTATCAGATAGATAGTTCAGAGCTTTGGCACGTTGTACCTGAAGTTGCAGTGACTCAAGTCATACGGAATGTTACATGAATATTGGAATCTTTTCTGCCCTTCTTCTTTATATTTTTCCTATATGTGCAGACCTTTCGATGGGCACCCGACATCCCTGTTCCTCCACACTTTTCCTGAGAAGTAGTTCTAACAGTGGATTGTACTGTGAGGTGAAAGGTACATTGTGCTTATACGTAAATACAGCACTGGGTGCCAGGGTCTGTCTTCTTTTGCCAAGAAAAGCGTATTTTTTTTTGTTTTTGTTACAGCAGGGCAATTTTCATTGCCAGCGGCACAACACACATTAGGAGAAAGCAAATAAACAACACAGGGCACTTGGAGCCAGGAAGTCACATCTCAGACTCGAAACATGGCTTTGGATTGACGTTTGGGATGTGGGTTGCTAAGTAGGGGAGCCACCTATCAAACTGAAAGCCTGTAACCTGAGGTCGTACTCTTCCAGGGAAACTATTTAGTCACAGAATCTTTGGAAGGGTGTCAGAAATTGATTTTGATGTTATGACAGTTAGTTTCCTTGTAATTAAATATTTAACTCAAAGTATGCCTTAGGTAATTGATTATCGCCTTGCCTTTCATTATTTGCCTTAGACATGCCATTAACATTTGTTGTATTTAATATTTTGAAACTAACCTTTTGTTAATTAAATGCTTTACTCTGAAATAATCCAATTAAATTTTGTATGAGTATTCCTAGTAGTAGTAGTGCCTAGTTTTAAACATGGTCTATTTTTACCCCCTTCCTTATCAGAGATATGCCAAATTCAGTGGGTTTGGAGTATTTTTAAAGGTTTCTTCTATGTCAAATTAATAGTGTGTTACAGTAGCTTGCTGAAACAATAATCAAAATAAAAATTTTAAACCCAAAGCTTTTTTAAAGCAGAAGAGGTAAACTCAGTTAAAAATTTACTTGCTTAAGCATGTACTAATAGTACATTCTTTTAAAGGCAAGAAAGGAAAATTTTTGCCCTGCTTTGTTAGAATACTCTTACCTGCGCAGCTTTAGTTTATGAAATTTGAGGCTTTGGGAATAATTAAATCTTTATAAAGATATTCATAGCGGTTTTCCTCCTTCCCAGCCCCTTGACTTATGCAACTGGAGAATTCCTTTTCATCCATTTTGGATTTAAGGCACGAGATACCAATTATTGAAGAGAAAATAGTCAAAGTAATTCTCTTCAGTTTTGATAATATTTAAACATACCAGTGATTGTTTTGAATAATGTATATTTCTTCAGCTGTTAATATCTTACCCCTTCCTCTTTTAGGGCCTGCTGAAGTTCCCATGATGTCACCCAATGGATCCATTCCTCCCATCCATGTGCCTCCAGGTTATATTTCACAGGTAAACCATGTAACAGACTTCTCTACCCACTGTTGGCCCTGTTGCTTCAAAAGAATATATGGCTTCAAAGACTGCCCCCCCGGGATTAATTTAGTTAGGAGAGTGATAGAGTTGTGGGATGTTTTTGTTTTTGTTTGTTTTGGCTTTTTATTTTTTGTGTGTGTGCACTTGGGCACCACGTGGTCTCTTCATGATTCTTGTTGCTTGACTTCCCAGAAAGTCAGTTGGAGGAAAATACAGTAGGGTTAGGAGGCCTCCTTCTATCGGGGTGGGTTTCACCCTCGACCATCTGATGGTTTCTTCATAAAGTCTACTGCCTTAGAGACTTCCTTCCACTGTACCCTGATTTGCTAGTTGGGAGGGAAGTGTAGATTCAGTTAGCAAAAATATTAAAGGAGACATAGTTAAAGTCAACAGAATCTGTGCTCTGTTCTGGTGTCCTAATTTCTCTGTAATGTGGCACAACTTGGTCGTGGTGAATTACGAATATAATGTGAGAACTTGGCTGTTTGTACTTAAATTTCTCTGAAATTGGATTATTTAAGTTAAAAAAAAAAAAGAACAGTAGTTTAAAAAGAAGTGGCAATTTCAGAGGTGTGTTGGAAGGATTTTTTAAAAAAGGTAAAGCTATACCCCTATACCTGGATAAGGTTTAAAGTCTTCAGACTGCCTGGAACATGTACGTCTGGGTATACTTGAGTTTTTGTCCTCTCTCCTAGGACAATATGAACTCCTCTCTGCACTACTTCCTTCCCTGAATACCTAACTAACCAAGTCTTCTCTCCACTTTTTACCTTTGTTTTCTTTTTTTTTTTTCTGATTATGAAGGCATCTTATATTCATTGACAAAAACTCTGAAAAGACAGAGAAGCATGTAAAAAATATTTATAAGTTTAAATATAAAAATATTTGTAAATATAAAATATATAAATATATAAATATAAGTTTAAATATAAATGTTATATTTAACATTTTTTGGATTATAGTCTTCCAGATTTTTTGCTTTCTCTCTGTCTTCTTTTAAAGTGGATCAAAAATGTGTAATTTGCTGTTTTAATGATTTTGCTAGAGTGAAAAAATTGGCAGCTACATAGGAAAATTGCTGAAGTTCAGGCAGGAATCAAAGATTTATCCTTCTCTGATGTAAAAATTCACCCTCTTCTTCACTCTCTAAGCCATAGTTTAGCCACTATAATTTGATTTTTTCCATCCCTACTTTTTTATACAAGCCAATTTGACATCATTTTTTTTTTTTTTTTTGAGTAGGCAGAATATTGGCCTGTCTTTGCCCTGTTGCAAATAAATGACTTGTTTTACACAAGTCTTTGTAAATAAGGATCACTGAAAGGAGAAAAGGGGGCAGAGCAGGCCCTTGCACCAGGACCCAGGATGATGGATCACATTCACGTCACCAGTCAATTAACAGAAAAGAACAAGGAATGTAGAATTCTATTATGTCTCCCACTCATTTATTTTGAGGAAGTGTTTCATTCCTGTGAAAACAGAGTACAGTTCTCACCATTGTGATGGTTGAAATAACACCTCCTTTTATGCTAAAGGACCATTTAAGGAATACCAGTTAAAAATTCTAGTGGAGGGAAGCTGTAACGTGCTTTTTCTTGCTAGTGGCGTTGCTGTGACTTTACTAACTGCCAAACATTTATTAGGTTTCCTAGGGAAAATAGAGAATTTTAGACCATGGTGTATTTCTGATTCTGAAAAACTTTGATAGAAAATGTAAGTAGAAAGAGGAAAAGCAGAACTGTAAACTTACTTTCATAAAACTGATGATGGAAGTATAGTGAGACACTTTCTCAATTCAGAATTATGGCAGTGTGTGCTCAGACATATTGGAAGAATAGTAAAAATGGAATAATTTGGATTCTGAATTGAAAAAGAGCAAGAATACTCTAATCTAAAATAAAAATTTAAAATAAAGTTGATGGGAATATTCCAAAAAGAAAAAAAAAAAGAAAAAAGCGCAAGAAACAGCCTGTAAGGCATGTGTTCAGTTTCATTTAGATTGGGCTTTCTGATCAGAAGATGGGCCCAGAGTTAAATGATCCTCAGTGGTAAGTATTATAATGTTAATAATATTGGACAGTGAAATGTCTAAGTAAAAGAAATTATTATAGTGAAGAAAATTGAGAGCCTGAAGCACAAAGAAGATGTACAACATCTTCTTTAAGGCTGACCATATACAGACTTCAAAGAAATGAAGAGGGTTGGAGCCAAATATAAAACATCTTAGACTTGTCAAGAAGCAGAATGTCTCTTTGATATTCAGTTATGAGGAGAAAGCATCACTTAAAAAAAAGAAAAGAAAAATCCCCCTCCTGGCTAGACATACATAAGAATGCCCAAAACTAGTCTGTCACTATCCAAAACAATTTTACTTCTTAACCCCACAGTCCTTTTCCTCAATTACATGTGGCTTCCTTGTCCAGATCTTTAGTTGGATGTACATTGCATAGAAGTAAAATTAAAGCTCTTTGGTTTATGAATTCTTCAACACTGCCCTCTTTTTGAGAATCACCTATACCTGTTGTCCCATATTGCTACCACCTTAAATTTCTGTCCCCTGGCCTTTTCTTAACTACATACTTTTGTGCCCACTATTTCTCTCTTCTTGGAGAACTCAAGAGCCCTTCTTTGTCTGACAGTTCAGTCATTCTTCTATTCAAATGCCCCTCCTCATTGTGACCCTTTTAGAACCTCCAACACAGAGATGGTTGTTTTGTTTTATTCTTTCAGCATCTTTGGTACTTTCTCCGCATCTCTGTCATGAAACACAATACATTTTATAATCATCCCCAAGAATCTTGGTGCCTCATTGGGATTGTATCTGAGAATCTAGAGTTCTGCCTGGTAGGTGGTAGGTACTTGATAAGCGCTTTTAAATGTAAGTGATTGGCCAAGCTGAAATAAAGTAGATATATGATAGATTCATAGATTGGATTCAAAGATGTGCAGGTTCAAGTAGAGTAATAAAACACTTGATAGCTGGGAAATTGACAAGATCATAGTGGTGTATACCTACAAGGAATGAAAAGCTCTGAATGTGGACTTGAGAGGAATGCAAAGATAATTTGGTAGAGGAAGAAATAGCGTCCTCCACAATAGCATGGGGACAACTGGTTATCCAAATGCAAAAGAATGAATTTGGACCTCTATCTCACATCATGTACAAAAATTAACTCTAAATGGATCATGGATGTAAGTGTAAGAGCTAAAACTACATAGCTCTAGGAGTAAAATTTTATAACCTTGGAGTCAGCAATGGATTCTTAGATGTGACACCAAAAGCAGAAGCATCAATAGAAGACAATAGATAAATTTGACTTCATCTAGATTAAGACTTTTTATGCTTTCAGGGTCACCATCAATAAAATGAAAAGAGAGCTCATAAATTGGGAGAAAATATATGCAAATCATATATTTTAGAAGAGACTTGTACCTAGAATATACCAGGAAATCTTACAGCTCAAGAATAAAAAGATAAAAACCCCAGTTTAAGTATGGACAAAGGATCAGAACAGACGTTTCTCCAAAAGCACTGTACAGGTGGCCAAGTAGTACATTGAAAGATGGTGAACACCAGTAACCATCAGGGAAATGCAGATCAAAACCACAGTGCAATACACTTCACACACACTGTGATGCCTTTAGTCTGAGAGACAAGTAATAACAAGTGTTGGTAAGAATATGGAACACTTGGAACCCTCCTACATTGCCTGTGATAATGTAAAATAGTACACTGCTTTGGAAGATATTCTGGCATCTCCTTAAATGGTTAAATATAGAGTTACTATTGTTGTTGTTGTTCAGTTGCTAAGTTGTGTCTGACTCTTTGCGTCCCCATGGACTGCAGCATGCCAGGTTTCTTTGTCCCTCACCATCTCCCTGAGTTTGCTCAAACTCATGTCCATTGAGTCAGTGATGCCATCCAACCATCTCATCAGAGTTACCATATGACTCCGTTCTTCTACTCCTAGGTAGATATCCAAGAGGAGAGAAAGCATATATTTACACAAAAAAGCTTATATATGAATGTTTGTAGCAGCATTTTTCATAATAACCCCCAAATGAAAACAACCCTGATGTCCATCACCATATGAATGGATCAACACAATGTGATGTATCCATACAATGGACTGTTGTTCAGCCATTAAGAAGGAATGAAGTACTGATGCATGCTAAAACATGGATGAACCTTGAAATATTATGCTAAGTGAAAGAAGCCAGACAGAAAAACCATATACAGCATCATTCCACTTATATATAATGTACAGAATAGGCAAATCCATAGACACTGATAATAAATTTGTTGTTGCCAGAAGCTGGGGAAGAGAGTATTAGGAAGTTCCTGCTAATGGGTATGGCATTCTTTTTGGGATCATGATGATGTTCTGGAAATAAATAATGGTAATGGTCACTCAACTCTGAATATACTAAAAACCAGCTGAATCAGACACTTTAAAAGAATGGATTGGTGGTATGTAAATTATATCTCAAAGCAGTTACAAAAGGGAAGGGGGAGATAGTGACTAGTCCTAATTATTAATCAGCAAACAATGGCACAGCTGGGAAAAATGGTCCAGCCTGTGTTGCTGCCTGGGTTGAGGATGGTAATAATACTGTGTATGCTCTGCTCAGTGCTTTATTTGCATCTCTAGTTTTCACCACCCTAACTTTACATATGAGGAAGCTAAGACCCTGAGTTGGATCAGGATTGCAACAGAGGCATTTCTGAATTTACTGACCGTTTTGCCACTATGATATGATCTCAAAGTTAGCGACAGAGCCTCCTTTGATGGATACACAGTTTACCCTTAAATAACGATGTGGAGAGCTGTACAGACTCAGTTACACTTGGATTTTTTTCAGTACTAGATACTCAGTACTGCACAATCTGTGGTTGGTTGACTCTGTGAATGAGGATATGGATAAGGGGAGCTGATTTTAAAATATTTGTGGACTTCAGACTGTGAGGAGGGTCA